AAGACATTCCTTTCTCAGGGGCCACGCAGAAAAGCTCAGTTAGTTCTAGGCAGTTTCTCCAGCTTAGAGGGTGGGAGTGAAGACAGAGGAAGGTCTAAACTATTTAAAGCCAGTCAAATCAAGAATAACTTAGCCTTTTCTGGGACTGTAGATTTTTATGATGTTGGAAATGAGCTTCTTCTAGGTAACCATGGTGTGATTTGCCAGTATATCTCTCAGAGTATGGGAGGGAGAGGGAATGCGGGGCAGGTCACCTCAGCAGCAGCCTAGGATGGGAGACCTCTGGTCTGGAGTGAGCCCTCCTCACCCCCTAGCTCTCCCCCAGGATCCCACTCTGCAGAAGGAACAGTCAGAATGGATGAGAGTGAAGAACTCTGGGCTCCAAACACAAACTTCTTGTGTGAGACTCCAGCGTCTCCCCTCCACTGTCACCTAAACAGCTGCCACCCTTCTTCACCCCAAAAGCCCTGTCTGGCTTTGAACTCTCTGAGCCCCTTTCATCTGAGCCTAATCAAAGTGCTTTTACTGAGACCAATTAATGCCCGGCTGTCACCCGAGTCATAGATGTGGATGCTGAGGCTTTCAGGGGTACTGGAGGACATCCCAGCATCCCACTGAGTCAGGGACAGCCTGGCTCAGCCACCAGGGCAGCTTGATGAATCATGATCAACTGGAGCTGCTTCTGTAGCAGGTGCAAAGGTTCTGAGACAGCCTCCAAGCCACAGTGGAGCATGATGCAGGCAACAGGCACATGTGGGTGGGTGGAGCATGGAGCCCAGCCAGGAGCCAGGAGACATGTGCTCAGGAGGCCACTGCCTGCAGACTTGATTCAATGCTCTAAGGTGGAGTCCAACCTCCGGATTTTCCAGGCTACATCAGCTCAGTGTGACATTGCAAGGACAGGAAGTCGCAGAGGGACAGAAGAAACGGAGCTGGGAAGCCAATCAGAGACCCTTACAACAAAGTCAGTAGCTTAGGCACCTTTTTCCTGCAAGTTTCTTACATCTATAAATCAACAGAGGCAATGCACTAACAACACTTCCTTCTCATCCCCAGATTTTCCCAGCACCACTCTCCCTTTGTAGCTTCCCAGACACCCCTGAGCTGATTCAGTGGCTTGGAGGGGTGTACAGAGATCATTTCCCCACTCTGAGAATTAGGAGGGAAAGCCGAAGCCACCTTGAAGAAAGCACTACCCAATGGCTCCATCCCTAGAAGCTAGTGTTTTGGCCCACAATGCAAACTAGATAATCAGGATCCTCTCCCGAAAAGGCTGAGACTATTTAAAGGCACACGAAATTTGGTGGGAGCAACTGGGGGTGACAAAGCAAGAGCAGACTGGAACAATGAAAGTTTCTGTGAAGATGAAATCCAGGTCTGCAGTGTTCACTGAGTGCCTAGAACATACCTAGAACATAGTAGGTACTCAAGAAGTATTTGAATGAGTGAACAAATGAATAGACCATTCTAGGGAAAAGTGAAGCAAGCTAACACAGACAACGGTGGCTTTGAGGAGCCCCACTCGCTAGAGTGAGGTGAACTGAGGAGAGAGCCCAGCCACTTGAGTGAATGAGGCAGCCGTGTTTGGGTGAGGGGACTGGGCCAAAAGGGTAGGGAGAAGGACCCTGAGCATGCCCTGCTGAGGGACAAGCAGGTGTCTGTGTTGTGATGCTGGAGTTGAAAGGGTTCTGGCAGGACAGGGATGATACAGGAGAGTAAGCCTGGGTTCAGACACCACCTTTTTCACAGATGTGGTCTGAGACACAGGCATGAGCCCAGTAAGAGCTCTGCCTTAGGCAGCCAGGTGTGCCTCCTTCCCTGTTCGGCCCAGCCCAGCCCTCACCCAGCCCCTCCCTGAGAGCATCTAGCTCCTGGCCTCAGCCCTGAAATGCCTCTGAGGTGGGCATGGACTGGAGGCAGAGACAAGGCTATGCTGAAAACAAACATGATGACAGCATCCCAGAAAGTCACAAAAAGGCCATGAGCCACCAGGACAAAGGGACCACCAGGCTTAGAAAGATGATCTTAGAGAGCATCCTTCCATTGCTAGGCCCTGAGCATCACACCACCCACACCTAGGTCACCTTTACCCTATTTTGCTCCACATTAAATACCCTGTAGTAGCCTCATCCCCACACAAGGGAGCTGAGCTGTTCCTTGGAGAAGTACAATAGGTTTAATCTGTAACTATAAAATATCTAGGTTAGCAGCAGTCATGGACACCCAGAGATTGGGTGGAACCTTTCCCTGAAAAAATCTGAGAGGCTCGGAGGTGCACTTCAATTCACAGAGGTGGTTGGCAGGATATTAGCTTTGCGCTCAGCTTCGATGCAATACTTTTCAGGAAGGCCGGTGGCTCTGCCAGACAAACAGAAGGTAGCATACGGTGAGGGTGGAACCAGAGAGGAGACAGCAGGAAGTGGGCTCTGGGTGGGTTTACAGAACCTGGGGCCCTGTACCCCCAAAGCCCACTCTCACAATCCATTCTTCAAACATATTCCTGTCAAGACTCTAGCATCCTGCCAGGTAGTTTCCAGAGATCCAGGAAGACCCAAGTCCCAGGGCTTTCTGCTGGAGCCCCCTTAGGAGGGCAACATCCCTGAGCACCTCAGTAACACCCCTTCGATCCCTGAATCCCAGCTTTCCAGCCTGCCATGCCATCTCCTTGGGGAAGGGGAGAGGAGCTTTGGAAGAAGGGATGACATCGCACCTTAGCTCTTCAATCTTTTTCTTCTTGATGTCTTCAATGCGCTCACGCCGCCTCTGGGCCTCCTCTCTGAGGCGCCGGCCCTCCTCGAAAGTGGTGATGCGGTCCTGCACCTGCTTCTGCTGGTTCTCACGCACCTGGCGCCGGAGCTCGTTGGCGTGCTGTAAGCGCCCTGTGGCCTTTTTCTCCTCCTCCAGCCTCTCCTTTTCAATCTGCTCTCTCTGAGCCCTAGAGGAGGGACACGGGTTATGCAATGAGCTGGGCTGAACTGGCCCCCCACCTAGGAAAGGCATTGGGAGAGCCTCCTCCAATGGATGTGTTTCAGAGACCACGGACCTCCACACTCCAGCCCTTTTCTATGGCTGAGATCAGCCCCAAAGGCTGCCTCTGTGCCTGCTCCCCTCTCCCGCCCAACCAGTAAGCTTAGAAGGACCCCATGCTTGGCTTAGTGCTCTGCTGTCACTCTTTTGAAATTCTTAATAATTATTGAACAAGGGACCCCACAATCTCATTTTTCACTGGGCCCTTCAAATTATGTAGCTGGTCATGCACCCCGAGTCTCACCCCCTGGAAGCTATTGTTCCTACTCTTCTAACAATGCACAACTCCTCTCCAACTTGTTCTAAGATCTCTCTCCCTCTGTCTCTTTCTCTCTTCTTCTTCCTCTTCTTCTCTCCCTCCCTTCCTCCCTTTCTTCCTTCCCATGAACAGTAATGATGATATTACAAAACCAACAAAGGGATGTTTAAGAAGTTAAAGGAAGTGGTAAAATCTGTTATGCTAGCTCTTCTTAGTTGCTGGAAGGAAGGAACACAGCCTGATATTTCTTAGTTCTCTAATTGCTCCAACCCTCTAAATTCTTCTTAGGAGCCTCTTCCATAAGAATATTTCATGGACCCTGACATCAGGAAGAAAATGGCTAATGTAAACTAGATAGGTTCAACAAAACTCAAATGAATGTATTCACATCTCAGAGGAAATTCAGTCATAGGCCATCTTGAGTTATCATCTTATGTCTTTCTCAACATAATAAAAAACGAAACGTAAAATCATCTTAGGCAGGGATCTCTCACCTGCTCTGCTCTCCTGGGGCCAGTCACATCCCAGCAAAAGTACCCAAAGCAAAACCTCACTTACTCATTTCCCTCCAGCCATCTGCCAAGATGCATCATATGTGGGGTATCAGCTCAACTCCCAGCAATTCTTTTATACCACGTAAGCACCTCCTAAAATCCTACTCCCACTACAGAGCCCTCTCAGTTAACCAGGAGAGAACTGCTGACTTTCTTACCCCTCTGTTTTTAGACACTAAATCTCCACTGTTCAGACACATCTGCAGCAACAGAAAGATTCTCTTTTGGCCTTGCCATTATTTTTTCATAGAGAAAACAGTTTTCTATTGTTTCACATTTTGTGAAACGAGGTGGAAATGGGGGACCGGTATATGTCACTAGAGAGCTCCTGGGGTGGGGCTCAAATTGAAAATTTGAATAGGAAAGAGCCTGGCCATTTCACAGAGTTAGAGCAGTGACCTTGGAGCCTGGCTGTATTACAATCTCCTGGGAGCTTTCAAAGACTACTGATGCCTGGGCCTCACCCCAGACCAGCTAAATCAGAATCTATGGAGGTGGAGCCTAGGCATCAATACTTTTTGAAAGCCCCCATGCATTTTTAAGAACCACTGGGTAGGGTGGGTCAACTATCTCTGCTTAGTCAACAGGCCAAGAGTTAAAGGAACCCCTCTGTCCAGAAGAAAGAAGTCTATATACAGGCCATACAGGAGGCTGTGCTTCTGAAGTAGGAAATGTTGGCTATGGCAGAGGTGCTCCTAACACTCAAAGACAGGGTCACATGGCCCTGGAGACACTCGGTCTAGGTGCCAACCTAGGACAACAGGTGAAACCGAACTTCTCCAAAGGGCTGGTCTAGCTTTAATAACTGGCTAGCACGTATGCATCGGGCAAACAAAGCAAAGAAGAAACAAATGGGTCAGTGGCAGTAGAACTTTAATATATTTCCATTAACATTTGCCTGCTAAAGGCAATAGAGATGTTCAGGGCATAGAGGTTGGGGAGGGCAGATATCTGAAAGGCAGTCTGGATCCCAGGGGCGGAATCTTTGGGGAAGAAGGAAGCTGTCTTCTTCACCAGGTATCCAGAGACCATGGAATAACCTTGAAGGCAGGGAAAGCTACAGAGCCAAAAAGCATCACAGCCAGTAGGGACAGGCTGGGGGTCCACAGTCAAATAAAAGACCAGGAACCTGCCTCTGACAAGTAGAGATTCCTACAGATCTGCACTGCCTCTGATCTGGCATGTGACTAACGAGCCATACCGAGAAGAAGCTCTAGAACACGTAGATCAAGGAAGCTGGGCTATACCGATCAATCTCTACTTATCGGAGCATAAGTTCAGTAATTTTGCATCCCAACCCGCCAATTCAAATTTTGTTTGGTTTGCTTCCTTTCAAAAATATCTGATTTTATAGAGTCTGAGCCAGAGGAAGAAGGGTGTCATTCCCAGTTAGGCCTGAACAGTGAGAGCCAGAAGAATACCCCAGGGGCCAGGTCGGGTAGTGGCAGATTGTGCCTGATAGAAACCAGGCCAGCTGTCACTACTGACTGCTTTGGGGCTGGAGAAGGGGAAAGGCATAGTGAGAAATATGAACACTTACCTTCCATTTATGTGTTGGAATTATCACTGAGCCAACAGAGAGAATAAAAGAGTAAAGAGCTGGCAAGACAGGAGACATGGACAAATATAGGTGAGGTCTATCTAAATGAGTCTCTAACTCCTTCCTACATGAATGGACAGGGACAGTGTTTTACTTATCTCTAATATCTCCAAAGCACCTAGCACAGAGCCTTGAATTTATGTGCTTAGTACATATTTGTCAAATGAATGGCAAAGACCTCCCTTAAAGCCCTGCTCTAATGACTCACAACCATTAGTGTTTGAAGTTCTTCTCTCCATTTTTCCTCAACTCCCTGCTGCAGTTTCATCCCCAGCTTGTGGGGGGACATGGTACACCTTTAAGGCTCCAGGGTAAATAATCCCAATAACCAACAATTCCTTCAACACATCCAGGCACTATTCTCCATTTCTCTACTCATAAAATTCTTGGCTCAAGTGTCTGAAATATTTCAACTACCCCTCTGGTTAGAATGACCCCACCAACCCAGTCAAGGTGGATGTGCATCTGTCTATGGACATGCCAGAAAGCTCCTATACCCAATACGGACACCCTGCCACAGCACAAGGAAAGCCAAGGTCCCCAGCCCATCCTACCGAAGGAGCCTCTCGAACTCATCCCGGTCCCGTTGCACCTGGACAGCCAGACTGTGCTCCTTGAAAGCCACCTGCTCCAGCCGACTTTTCCGCAGTTTGGCCTCTGTTTCCATCTTCTTCTGCGCATTTTCCTTCTCCTTTCTGCGCCACTCTCTATCTGCAACCTCCTGGTTGCGCTTGGCCCGCAAGGCATCCTGAAAAAGGAGAGGGTGGGGAGACCAGTGAGGGAACAAAACATCCTCAAACCGACCAGGTGCCTATGAGAAGACACTCCCTCACAGACTCCGACACAGCCTGCTTTGAGAAGCTTTGAGAATTTCTCTAGCAGCATGCTCATTATAGGAAAAAAGAAATGGAATCCTGTCATAGAACTTTCAGGTCAGAATATACCCTGAGGGGCCATTTTGTCCTTCCACGCCACTCATCCCAATGCTTTCCCTATACCTCAAACACCTCCAAATGGTTGCATAATTGCTTCTAATTTTAAAAACTGGTAATGATGGAGATACCATGTTTCCTCTAGTGACACATTTCAATGGTTAAGGTTGAAAGTTCTTTATGAAGCAGCCTAAAACTTTCTCTTGAACCTTAAGCACATAATGCACTGCTCAGTTCTTGCTGCCATAGGCACTGGTGGCAGGCCCACCCCTTCTTTCTCAGATGACTGGAGTCTAGCTAACCGGCATCCTCTCTTCTAAATCTTTACCTTTGAGGCCATTTTACAGGCTGTCAAAGGAATAGTTAAGGGAGTGGGAGAGGCGGAGGGAAGTAGAGGCTAAATAGGCACCTGTTCTGCCTGGTAATCCTGGGCCTTTTCCTGCATGGCCCTCAGGCGGGCGATCTCCTTCTCTTTCTCCCTCCGGATTCTCTCCTGCTCAGCCTCAAACTCTGCTTCTCGAGCCTGTCCAAAAGAAAGAAAGGCCTTGTAGAATAGCTCCCATTGCCCCAGCCTTGCAGAGAGAAACCAAGCACCTGTACCAGTCTGTCCAGTATCTCCCCTATTACCTCTGAACTCCTTCTAGTATGGCAGAGTGATAAGCAGTGTGTAGACATAAAAAAACAATTAGCATTTGTAAAATGCTTCCCCCTGTATTATCCCAGAGGGTCTCCACATCTCATGAGGTAGCTATTATATAGATGAGGAAACTGATGCTCGTAGAGATTGAGGGGCCTGTCCAAGATTGCATAGCTGGTCAGCTACTAAACAGGATTTGAATACAGGTGTCCTGAGCACAGCCTTCATGCTCCTTCTACTACTTCACAATTCCCAAGTTGCAAGGCCACTGGGCCAAATTTATAGAAGTAACAACTGTGGCTCCCTGCCTGTCTTATAAAGTGCGACAGGTGGAGGTTATCTCATTAGTCCTTGGCAAATGACCAACATGCTTTGGGCAGTGGTTAACAGATACCGAAAGAGTAAACCATCAAAATCAGCTCCCTTTGCTACTTCTCTTAAAGAACAGATATATCTCTAAAAGCTTCCCAAACCCAGCTTCCCAACAACCATTCAGGGGCAGTCATAAGACTAATAAAAATAGCTCAGGTTGAATGGGAATGTGATCTTCCCATAAAGAACATTCCTTAGCCCTCATTCTACCTGCTCAGACTTCTGTGCAGCCCAGTGAATGGTGCCTGCTTGTGGCTGTGCACGCTGGCTATGTGTCAAGCAGGTCTCTCTAGATGGCAAGGCAGAGAACTCTGGAGGCTTTCGCGGCCAATTAGCTCAAAAGGGGCAGCCCCAGCTGCAAGAACAGAGACTACTTTGAGGTCATTAAGGGCTTGTGATATACACGGATACTTACAGTGGGCTGTGGGCATGCCCAAGTGCCTGATCCTTCTGCTAGTCATCAGCCTCTTGCAGCTCCTCCTGCCAATGTCCTCTCCATGTATGAAGACAAGACATTTTCCTCTCCTTCTCAGAAATCTATGCTGATTCCTCATAATTCCATGCTCCCAGCTCTGCTAAAGGTCCAAAGCAATCCCAACAACTGCTCTCGGCTCTGCATCATCTCACCATCTCATTTCCTATCATGCTCTGCTGCAGCCAGATAACCTGTTCACCAACTCCAACACATGACTGGCTGATTATCCCCACTTTCACTCATTCAGGGAAGTAGCTGAGTTCCATACGATGTACATAGTGTTAGTCCAGGTATATTCAGCTTAGTCCAACACTAGACACACACTGAAGCATTCAGGACATTTTGAATCAATCAGTGACTAGGTTCACAAGGTGGTTGTAATATTTAAATGAGACAATATGTGTGAAGCACTTGGTATAGAGCCTGTGCACAGACCAAGCGCTCAACAAATGCCACTTGTATGATCACTATTATACACAAACCATCTATGCCCCCCATCTTGCATTCTCACTCTGTTCCCTGTATATCCTGGCATTCGACAAGAAAGCTAAAGCTTTGTTGAGCTTCATTTTCTGTGGTTTGCATCTGGAGTGTGTAGGTAAATCACATATACCTTTTCAAATTATACCCGTACCTTCCCCTCATCCATCATTAAAACTCACTACTATAGAGAAGTCTGATATGCCCTCTGTCATGAAACCTCAAGACTAGAGGGGAGACAAGATCAGCACACACAGAATTGAGTAACTTTTCTGCTGCCTTGAGTCCTTTCTTCCCTTTTCATATAAATCCATGTTCATTCCATCTAAACCATGCTTAAAAGCTTTATTTTGCCCGCCATTGTTCACAGATCCAGTCATTCCATCACCTTATTTTGCCCCAGAACAAGTCTGCACATTCCTAAGCTGCATCCCCCAGTAACTGTTGCAAGCATTGCCCTCTGCTCCAGGGTATATTTGTTCTTATGGGTTCCACGATAGGGAGAAGGCTCTATTTTCTAAGACTAACCCAGTACAGGATGCCCAATACAGGAATTTTCACAAGAAATTTATGGGGAAGCTGACTCATGATTACTGGGGATATAATTATCCAAGTCATGAGGATTCACAGAAAACTTTACTTTCACCAAGAGTTTCAATTTTCTTCCCTGCCTGCACCTGACCCTCATTCCAGCTTCTAATCAAAGGTGTTAACGAGGACAATAATGCTTACTTTGGGTGTCCTGTGCAGGCTGCTCTCTGTTAATGAACAAGTGGACTGGCCAAGATGAAGAGGAAAAAAAGCCAGGCCCTTGAACTACTAAGGACATGAAATTTAGAATGAAGACCAGGCTGCTTTGCTTTGCAGTTCCTTCAGTTCTCAGCCTGCCTCTCCCAATAACAGACATTCCATTCCTGGCCAGAAGTCCCAGGCATCAGAAACCAGGTCCCTACCATCTTCTTCTTGGTGAACTCCATCACCATCTGGTCTGCCAGCTTCTCCTGAGCCAGAAGCTCTGCTTTCTGTTTCTGGCTCTCGTCGTTGATGCGCTTAATCTCAGCTTGCATCTTCAGTTTTTGTTGGTGCCTTCGTTCCATGTCCTGCCAGCAAAAGGAAGAGAGCCTCAGAATAGAAGGGGATAAGACCAAAAAGTACCAGCATAATATGATAGAGAAACACAGATAAACGCAGGGAGACAAATGTTTCTGTTATTATCTTTGGTTAAACCTGCTCTCTCAAGAGTCGTTGATGACCTCTTCCAGCTTCTTTGCAGTCTTCATCCAGTTTGATTTTGTGGCATCTCCTGACACTGTTGATCTATATATACTCTCAGGAAGTACAGGTTCTTGAAATTCTAATCAGTGTCTCCCACATGTCATGTTAAACCCCATCCCCATAGCTTTGTTCATGGTATGTTCCTCCTGTCTTTAATTTCCTTCTCCTATTTAAACCCAAACTTTTGGTCAACAACAGTAATGGTTTAAATAATAAGTATTACTCTAATTAGGTACTTTCTATTAATTGAGCACTATATCTAACCCCTAAATACATCCAAAAATCCTTGTTACTTCTCTCATGCAGATGAAGAAACTGAGGCCCAGAGTTTAAGTGACTTGCCCAGGACCATACAGCTAATACACTTCAGAGCCAGAAGTTCGAAACCTGGTGTGTCTAAATTAAATTTCCAACCTTCTAGGGAAATCTTGATTGCCCCAAGTTTCGATTTTCTCTTCACTGCTGAATCTCTGCACTTAAGATGGTGTCGCATCTCATGGGATTTAATTATACACTGCCTTGTAGATCCCATGGATTTCTTGTGTGTTCATTCTGTCATAGAGGACAGGGACCATGTGTCACATTGCCTCTCTTTCCCAACATGTTGCCCAATGAGAGGAAAACAGAAAATACTCAATGAACTATTGCTAAATGAGGAAGGGAAGTAGGGACCAAAGCTAGTGGAGTATAAGAACGAGAAAAAACAAATCTTAAACACAGAGAAACACAATGAGCAATGTGACCCTGAATTAAAAGATCCCTTCTAAGGAAAGAGCCTCTGCCTTTCCCAGCCATGAGTCTTTGGAAGCACCTGGTGATCAGACCACTTCTGAGACCAAGCACATTCTCAGGCCCCATAGCAGAAGGGTGCTGGAATTTTGTGCAGCTATACCTATACCTATACCCTCCAAGCAAACTTGGACTCCTTGCTTCAAACTCTTTTACTCATCAACTCACCCCACCTGCAAGCTCTTTCCATTTTTTCAAAGATTAAACCCCTCCCTGGCCTTCCAGCTCCTCCTCAGTCCAGTTTCTGCCCTGACTCATCCAAGGCAATTCTTCTGGCTCTCCCCCAGCCTGGCCCACTGCCCACTTCAGGGCCCTTCCTCCAGGAAGTCTTCTGAACCAGATCAGCACAGCACTGCCTACCTCTAGCCAGGTCCATGTAGCACCTGAGTCATGGCTACTGGCTTTCCCTCATTCTCACCTACCCACCTCCTTGCACAATCGACTTTTCCCCTTTTGCTACTCCAGCTCTCACACTCCTTTTTCCCCTAATCCTTTTCTTCCTTTCCTTTTTACCTTCTTCACCCTCCTTATACCTTCCTCCCCCAGTTTCAGGCCTGCCATTGGTACCCCAGGCATTATATAATCCCATTGACCCTAAAGCTAAAAAAGCCGCTGACCTCTGATCTATGACATATATACAATCATGTATTTATTTACTTACTTCTTTGCCTATTTCATTTTTAATTTGTTGTTTTTGTTGGTTCATTTCATTTCCAAGCAACCAAAGGACTGTCCCCATTTCCCATCTTTGAAGCCATTCCAAAGCAACCCCAGATGAACTCCCCTCACACTTCCCCACCCTGCTAGCAAGGTGGGGAAAGCTGCCCTGGCACCACCCTGAGCTGATAAGGCAAGTCTAAGCTGGGGGTACACTGGTTTCTACCTTCAAGTAGAAGGACAGAAAAATGACAATGACACAACATCAGTGTAATGGTATTGGCTCAACAACACTTGGAATTTTCTCAGTGAGCTCACCAATTCCAACTCCCCACAACCTAGAATTTTCCAGCCTTCATTTCTCACCCCATTCCCTGCATGTTTGTGCCATGCTTCTCCTTCCTGGCCCTTTCTCTCTCTCTCCTGAGCCAGGAACTCAGCCAGGTCTCTCTGTGTTCTTGACCCTGTTGGTCCCCTTCTCAAAACAGAACTTGAGGCTACATGTCCCCTCATGTTCCCTAACCATACCGGTGATCTTCCTCCCACACCTCAGGTGCTCTGAGAAGCCTTCATAATTATAAGGCCAACTGTGAGACCATTCAGGGGCCCCCCGAAACTCACCACCATCAAATGCACCGGAAGATGACAATTCAATCATCCATGAACATGTGGGAGGAGGAGAGAAGTAAAAGCATACATGTTCCAGAAGTTAAATGGCACCATGAGGAAATAACCAACAAAGCAGAATGTGGAAAATTCTTCAAGTCAACTGACCTGGATCCTTCAAAATATTCATTTTATAAAAATGAAGGAACGAAAGAATGAAGGAACGAAGGAACGAACAAACGAACGAACTCTTCTAGATAAAAACGGACTAGAGACTTAAGTGAGTTATCTTGGTTCAGAAAAAAGAAAACAACTGAAATACATTTTGGGAACAACTGGGAAAATTTGAATGTGGATTAAATATTAAATGATATAGAATCATTGGATTTGATTTTTTGATGGGGATGCAATAATGGTATTGTTGACACATAAGAGAGTGTCTTTGTTCTTCAGAGATGTAGACTGAAGCATTTAGTAGTGAAGTGTCGAGACATCTACAACTTACTTTTAAACAGTTTAACAATAACAAAATATGCAACCAAGGCAGATTAACAATCATTAAATCAGTGAAGCATTGATGGATGTGGTACAAATCTTTTCATTTGTCCGTGTATAAAAATTTTTCAAAAGTAAAAAATAGAAGGAGAAAAAAGAATAAATGCTCCAAATGCTTGCCATGTCTCTGACTGTGCCTTTGTATATTGCAACAAACCAGATAAGGCAAATAGAACAGGATTTTATTTTAAAGCTACTTAGTTTGGGCCAGTATCTCATCATTTCTTCTGCAATGGATATGCCTACTAATTTTATTTAGGCTAACAGGAAAGAAGGTTTGGCTCCTCGACACAATTAACGACATCGGGATGCTGTGTATGCTGAAGGAGATAACAGCAGGGAGCCTGGAACTAAGACACTGCTACTGTTCTTCTACAAAGTGTGCAGTGTCCCTAGATAACTGAGGGAAGACTATAAAACATTCCTCTACTTATTTGTATAAAGCACACAACCACATATTTCCTTTATGTGTCCATTACATGGACATCTCAGTCTTGGACTCCAGGTCACAGGGAGGCAGGTATGGTCTCTATCCACAGCATGGCAAATAAATGTTTAATATGACAATAAAAAGTTGATGGTGATGATGTTGTGAAATGGGCATGTACCTGACAGAAAATTAGTCCACACCCGGTAACCCTCAATTTTTGTAAGCTTTTGTTGCTGGTGCTGGTGGAAGTTGGCATATCTATACAGCCCTGTTACCCTGAGATCCTCCTCTTGGAGCTGCTCCATGTACTCCAGCAGATGCTCCTTCTCCTGCTCCCGCTGCTCTGCAAGCAATGATCGCTCCTCCTGGTTCTTTTCCATCTGCTGCACAATGTGCCGTCTTCCTCTGGAGAGAACAAGGCCACAGTGTCTTAGAAATTGAGGGTCCATGTCTCTGTGTTCCAACCTCCACCCAAATAACTCCCACGATAGGAAGTGTGACAGGAACAATTTGAGAAGTGCCCTGAACATTGCTATGCTTTCTGAACCCAGACCAAAGTATTTCCCCCAAAGTGTTGCAAGGGGTCAGACCTCTCTCTTCCGAGCTCCTGGTTCCAGGTCTCACCCTTCTTGATATTCCCTTTGTTCATATGTTTCCCAAGAGTACACCCCACATTATAATGTACCTTCTTCTTCTCCCTTTTAGTGTGTAAAGAACTTTTGAAATCCTACCACCCCCCAAGCCTTCCCAGAGTAATCACAGGGAACAAGCTTCCCATGCTGGCTTCACAGAGCTTCGAGAGTTCAAAAGCCCACGACTTACCCTTCTTCCAATGCCTCTGCTATCACCCCATGTACCTTGTCACCCCCTGCAACTTTCCATGCCTAATTTTCTAACTGTCTTTCTTACATCTTATCTCACATTTTGATATTGTCAGCTGCTTGTAGACAAGGCTGAGTCTGAGGAACCAGATTCTACAATCAGTGTTGCCCATGGCTCTCTATGTGTTTTGGGATATAAATAAACTAGGAAGCACCTAGACCCTGGGATATATAAGTAAAGGCTAGGAAAATGAAAGACACAGATTAGGTTCAGAATCTAGGAGAAAGAATACATTCATGTTCAGATAGAGCACCTGAATGGCTTCATGACTCCAGATGAAATAAACAGGAGTAATGAGTAAGAGTTACATGGAAGCAAGTTGGAACTCAGTCCAAGGACCAACTCAAATCATTAGAGTTGCCTAATGAGTCAAAGGTTTTTCCTCAACTGGAGATGTTTACACAGAAGATGAAGAGCCATTTTTAGGCATTAAACTTTTATTGGCAGCCTGCTATAGTCTACTAGATTTCCAGAGATGAATGGTACAAGAGAACTGATTACAGATGGAGAGAGAGAACTGCCATTCAGTGTGGTACTAATACTATTTTATAGAGGTAATTCTTGTATTATATGGTTAGTGTTCTAAATATAGGACACTATTACTCTATAACTTACATGCTCTGGGTCTTGTACTTTTCTGCAAAACAAAGAAAACTAAATTATTCATTCTAATGTGTTAAGAACTTACTACGGGGCCAAACACTCTGCTAGGCCCAGGAGCTAAAGAAAGTAATGAAACAGGGACCCTGCCTTCTGAGAGCACACAGTCTAGTGAGGGTCAGAGAGCCACAATGCAAGAAGTGGTGTGTAGGTATAAACGCAGTGATGAGACACAGAAGACAGAGCCACCAACCCTGCCTAGGGAAGTTTGGGGGGTTTCTCAAGGGAGGTGACAGCAAAATTACATACTAAAGGAAGAAACAGTGTTTTCCAAAGGAAAGGAAAGAGAAAGGTATTCAAAGCAGCGTGAACAACAAAAAGTCATGAACTTGTGACAACACTTAGCATGTTGGGGAATGGGGGGAAGCATAGAGTAGTTGGCAAGAAATGGTGAGAAATGAGGCTGAATTGAGGCCAGATTGTGAAGCACCTGTTATGATCTTGGAAATAAGCTTTAGGAAGTTCTGTGGTTCTATGAATCACTTCATAAAGGTTTTGAGATAATAACAGATGATGATAATGGTCATTTCTCATCTCATCCCTCAGTGAAAGACTACATAGACCTAAAGATACATGAAAATGACAGAAAGGGGATGTGAAAACCACCTCTTTACCGAATTCTTTCCTCCCTCCTCTTCCTGTCCAGTTCCTCCTGCCTTTGAATGGATTTCTGCCTTTCTACCTCCATCATCTGATCCAACCGCTTCTCTTCTGCATCCAGTTCTTTTTGGATCAACTGCTTCTCCAGGATTTGGGCATCCCGAATGGCATGGCACTTGGCATTGAGGATGATCTGGGGAGTGAAGATGAAATTGTGGCACAAGGTCTGGGGGTGAGGTTAGGGAGGGATGCACCATGGAGGTCTGGAAGCTGGAGCGGGGAGAAATGGGAGCAGAGTAGTACCAGTGTGTTGGAAATGCACATAGCTGCTCACAAGCCCAGAAAAGCAAGAACATTCTTATATTTTTCCTTCCCCTTAATAAGAACCTAGCACTTACCAGCTCCTGCCAAGTGCTAGTCTGTGCAAGTAGAGGCCCAGAGTAGCATTTTTTCAGGGTACTGAGTCTTAGTGTTAGGGGGTCATGGGTCACTCTTTAGGAATATGATAAAAGCTATGGGCCTTCCTCTCCATAAAACTCACTTACATATGGACACACAAAATCTCCGTGAAATTTCAGAGGCTTGTGGTTCCCCTTAGGGACCCACAGACCGCAGTTAAGATCCCTGTTCCACTTCTCAGGGAAACTAAAACACTTTTGCAGAGGCCAAGACACTAGATCTTTTAAGCCAGAAGAGCCCAATATGACACAGAAGTGGGTGATAACCAAGCGCCATCAATAAGAACCATGAAGTAAAAGCTTTGGAAAATAAAAGGAGGTATAAGTCCAGAAGATTTACCTGAGAGACAGAAATCGTAGATGAAGGGGTTGGGGAGTCAGCATTTTTCATTTGGTTTGGAAGTGAACCACATGCAAATGAGGAACAAAATAGAATTCAAATGAGCCTCTGGTCTTTATGCTCTCAGCTAAAGCACTTCAAAAGAACCCTATTGCCTGTACCACCCTCTGTGGCCAGAATTGAACTAGTGGAATAAAAATAAAAGTAATAGCTCCCATTTATTTATTTATCAATCCACAGTTTGCAAAGCCTCTCCCATATTTTAGCTTATTTAATCCTGCCAATAATTCTGCCAAGTAGTTTTACCACCCTCACTTTACAAATAAAGAAAGTGAGGCTCAGGGAGGGCAAGTGACTTGCTGAAGGTCACACAGCTAGCACTAAGCAAAGCTGGTCCTCCCTCTACTCACAGCAACCACGCGACAGATGCAGCTCTCCCCCACCTCCCTTCCCCTGCCCCCAGCCAATCCCTCACTTCCCCCACCCCCACTTGACCCACCTCCAGCTGGAGCCCATGTTGTCCAGAGTGTGAATAAGAGGAGGGAAGAAATGCAGAGCCCCCACCTTGCTCATGTCCTTGAGCTCCTCCTCCTGCTCCATCCGCAGCTTGTTGGCTCTCTGCAGAAGGTTCTGGGCTCTCTCCTTGGCCACTTCCTCTAGGTCATTGAGCTTCTTGTTGTTCCTCCAAACCATTTCCTTCTGTTTCATGATCTTCTTGCGTGTGGTCACTGCATCCTACAGGAGACCAATCTAAATCAGTGTGTGATTGTTCCCTGTGCTGTGTCCTGGGCACTAGCCTGGCTACCACAGGTGACCCGATATGATTTTTGCTTCACTCCATCATGTTATCAGAACCCAGAAGTTTCTCAGCCTGGCTTCATCCTCACCCCTCCCCTTGCTCCCAGTTACTTCCACAACTGGTCTTCATTCTATAGCATGTCTCCATCCAAGCCTTGTTCCAGGGTCCTCTAACTAGAGCTCTAAGTCTTGTGAGAAGCCGGCCTCTTCCCAGAACATCTCTCTTCTGCCCCCCACCTGTTGAGACCAGGGCTTGGGGGCTTAGCTACCACAATGGCTTCCTTCTCCTTTCTGAAGGCCTGCTCCCTGGCCTCGAGTTCTTCTCTGGTCAGCACACGAGATGCCCATTTGATCCGCTCAAACTCCTCGGGGCTCATGATAAGGGATTTCCCGGACGGATCCTTGGTGGGAATGCTGACACAAGAAGTGAGCAAAGTTAGGGAAAGGAAGTAAGGGAAAGCTCTCACTTCCACAGGCATCTCTGCTCTCCTCGCTCCCCTTATCATTGCCAACCGTCCAGCATGAACATGGCTAGTGTAGGAAAGATTGCCAACTGCATTGTGGGTCTAATGGGGAGAAGATGTCCAGGGGAGGGTGAAGCAGCATCACAGACTATAAAGGGACATTTTAAGAACTTTTTCTAAAAGGCCCAGCTTACATGTTTCCTTCTCTGTAGAGCCATTCATGGCCTTCCTCTCGGCGTACACAAATGCCAATCCCCGCCACCAGGCCCAACTGACCACCTCCTGCTCTGAGCCCACCATGTTCTGCTCTCACTGTCCGTGTTACAGCCAGCTGGGCATGGCCTGTTTCCTTGCTGGATTACAAATTCCTTCAGGACATGGTATCTGTCTTAACCACATGGTGGCCTAGTCTTTGGCCCAGTGCTGGGCACAGAATGAGAACTCAAAGCTGTCAAATTAAGCTTTAAAAATAGATTATTCCTCAAAGATGACATAAAAAGGGCAAGGGGACGCCAGACAGGTTGAAATGGATGCTAGTCAGAAACCTAAACACCCTGCCCATCCAGCCCAAAGAGAAGCTTTGAACCCTAAATATTAATTAAAATGTCTGATCAACGACAGTTGGAGACATGTCTATAGACCTCTCCTTTCTAGCCACTCAACTATTCAACAAACCAATAGGTAATTATAATGATTACAAACAAATGACACACATTAAAGATGGAGGCGGGAGAAGCAGGGGGTGGGAATAAAGCTGCTTCTGGGTGAGGCCATTTAAAAGGCACATGACAATGAGACGCAGACGTCTGAGGCAGGAAGTGAAAACTCATCTAATAAAACTAGTGTGGGGGGAGGACCAGGAGGTAGAGCAAACGAGTGAGTGGATTTAGGGCTTAGCCAAGATCTCATGGTTCACTGAGTAGCATGACACAAAACAGCCTGGAATCTGGAATACCCAAGAATGATCCGAATCTGAGACAGCATCTCATGGGCTTTCAGCAGCCCTGACAAGGAACCAGCAACTTCATCTCCAATGTGTTCTCAGCACTAGACCCCTCCAAGAAGGAACCACTTCTCTGGCCCCACTAGTGGCCACAGGGTTGCTGACCATGTCTGGCTATTTGATGCCAGGACTGACAAGATGGTGCTCCTGAGGCTGTGTCCTAGCTGTGCCTCCCCAGCTCATGATACAGGCAGCGTTTTCTAGAAATTTAAGCTTTTTTAGCGGGTGGGGCCAGAGTAGGAAGAATAGTTTCAGAGAATAAAGCACTAGCACAAGGGCTAAATCAACAAGTAACAGTTTGGGCTCATTTCATATTGCTGAATGAGACCTAAACTCCACAAAAGGGACCAAGCAAGGGGGCAGCTCTGGTGGGGAAGCCATGTTGAGCTAATCCCAAAAGAACATGAGAGCCTGTAAGAATTTCCTCTTCTGGCTTTGGAGTCTGGGAAGACAGGGGGCTTATTAGGCATCTGGTCAGTTTCCCTTTGCTTCAGATTCTTGATGCAGTCAAAAGGAAGTTACTCATGTGGGCCAGTCCCTTTACCAAGGTAGTAATAGGGGCTCAGGGAGGGCCAACTAAGCATCTCCCCTCTACCAGCTCCTTAGGTCCCACAGCAGCCAGAAGAGAGGGAAGAGAAAGGAGCTGGAAACCAAGGGTAATGGAAATAATAGATACAAGAGGGGGAGAAACAGAGGTGCCAAGATGAAGAAAAAGGAAGGAGAACATGAAACAAACAAGGGAAATGAGTAGGAAAAAAGTAGGGACTTGACTGACAGTGAAACCAAGTGAGTTTCTCCATCTTCCTGCACAGGCCCTCAGCGGAAGTTCAGGCTGAGACAAGAGGGCAGGGTGTGAGCCCTGGATACTCACATGAGTTGCCGAACCATGTCTCGGGTGATAAGCTGAATGGTCTCTGGCTTGTGGTCCCAGCCCAGAGTAGCGAAAGTTTTCTGAATGGCATGCTTATCTCGGAGCAGCACGATGGGGCTGTCGATCTGGGCCAGGGGCTATGGGTTCAGCAAGGACAGCTTAGAAGCTGGCCACCCCACTTCCTGCTGGTCAGTCCTAACTTCAAGTATAGAATTCCCCTCTCCTGGGGCTTCAACCCCATGCAATGGCAGGGGAGGCTGGCTGAGACCCAGGCTGCAGGATCACCCAGATTAGCCATGGCACTGCGAAAGCAGTGTGGTGCTCTGCACTTGAACTTAGCCAGATGTATCCTGTAATGACCAGCTCTTCTGAGAACAAGGCCTCTATTTAACTTGTGCAGATACCCCTGGACAGATGGGAAGTGGGGGTTGCTAGTGTGTGTCCATTCCTAACAGGAATGAAAATTGTAGGTCCCTACATTCTCTTCCCTCTATGACTTATGGAAGAAGGAATAATTCTCTCTTGGACCACACTGTTGGCCTGAAGCAATATAATTTGTTGCAGACTCATCCAATCTGATATTCACATCTTTTCATCTTTTGTAATGATTGATTTACTTTGATCCCCGCCCCCAAAAGCCCATTTGGAGGGAGTTAGAAATGGCTAAACAGCCTGGTAGAGACCTGCCCTTAAATCTAATGTGGTGAGAAAGTCAGGAAGTTAGAATTCAGCAAGAATATGAATTATGTATATCTTTTTTTTTTTTCAAAATTTTCTGACCATGAGTTAGATAAAAAGAAAATAAAACATTTCAGAAAATTTTTGAACACAAGAGAATTTCACTTGTCATTAAAGCAGTAACTGTGATCCTGAGTGGAGGTCCCTCTTGTCCTGAGAACTTCACTTTGCAGAGGTCCCAGAGTGCTGCTGCCACCTGGTGCCTATCTCTGCTTCCAAGTAGGCACAAGTCAGTCATGCCACAGGCTCCTTCTGCCCCCTACTGTTGGTTGAGAGAGTTCCTGGACTCTCACCCAGCAGTAAGGCCAAAGAAAAAGGGCCAGGAGCAGGCATTTTTCTAACTGCTCCTTTTGCTATTCCTGGAGAATCAGCCATTTCCCAGTCTATCTTTGCTTTGACTAAAAGTGACATTCCTTT